GATTTCTTACAGTTACGCTTTCCCAATTTTGCACATTGCACACGTGTATGAATGGTGAATAAGTGGGTGGAAAATTTTTGCACTATAGACCCACAACTTTTTATAAAAAATTGTACAAAAACTAGATGAGAAATTCGCGCTTGAAGCTTTTAAGACAAAAATACACCGGTCGTACGACCTTTTTACAATCAAAATATCGCCCAACTGCCAGCAGCCACGACCCACTTTTCAGATTTTTCTGAATTTTTGTGCGCAACTTTCAACCATTTCTTCCAGATCAACAATTTTCGGGCACATTTTGCAAAAAATGTTTAATACAGATTTTATAGAAGAAAATGAGAAAAATTGCGCCTCAAGTCTTTCTTTCAGCCCAAAAACTGTATATAAAGATTTGCTGTAGAAACATTTTTAGGTCTTCATAAGATAGCTGCAGAAATGCTCTAAAGACCCACCAGAGAACGTCAACTGGACCCACAACAGCTTTTTCGAAAATCGCTCCAGAGCTTTTTGAATGGCGCACGCATTTGGAAAAGAAAATCTCCATTTTTCTCGTTTTTTTCTAAATAGAACTGACATTTATAATTTTTCCAACAAAAACGATATATTTGCGAAATGCTCAAGGAATTTGACGTCGAGGCCAAAACGAAAGTTATTGGGTGATAAAAAATATCAAAATTATCGCGCCCTATTTTAGAATTCGGTTGAAAAACCCCCTATCTCAGGTGCCGATTCAAAAACGCCCTATCGGCACAATTTCAATGTATTTTCGTTTGACATAGTGTGTTTTTGAACCGAATTCTGAGATAAGCGTTCTTCAACCAAATTCTGAGATAGGGCGTTTTCGAACTGGCAGTCTAGATAGGACGATCTTCCACTCAGCCATCGAAATACAAGTAGTATCTTCCAGTACTCCAGGATTTAGTCAGAAATTGTAACCGGAAACCTAAGGGTGCAAAACAGTCCGTAATTTTCATTTAAATTTTAGTAGTCTAGTTAGCTCCGCATACGTGATATTTACAAATTTTGCAGAATTTACACCAAAATGTGTTTGGTACGCCACCTCATAAAAGATTTATTAAGAACGAAGCAGCTTTTCCTATATTTCTGACTATACGGGAACAGAGCTATTCAGACATGTTTTGCAATTCACTTCCGAGTGAATTTCAATAAATTGCGCTTTGAATTCAAATTGGCCGGGGTTGAAATTCACTCGGTGGTGAATTGCAGAACCTACCTGTTTATGTTTTATATTTCACTTTTGTTTATTTTATCCTTTTGAGCGTCTGTGTGCTTTTTTACAAACTGATTGAAATTTTGTTCCTCTATGTGGTCTTCGTTAAATGTTGGTGCTTCCTCTTCTTGCCCTTCTTCGTCTTCGGAACTTTCATTTCCCGGATGCTTCAAGTAAATATCGGTCAGTTCACGACCAATGGGAACCTACAATAAGACAAGGTTAATAAAATGCACATTAAATTTTGTAACATTTAATCTACCTCCTCCACAAAACCACCCAATGGCACTTCGGTTCCCTCGCCCTTGCTCTTCGCAATCGCTGCTAATTCCTCTTCCTTTCTTCGTGTTTCTTCTTTTAATTTTGCTTCTCGTAATTTATTGTACTCCGCTTTATAATCGCTACAATAGTTTTAATAAGTTATATTTTAAGATAAACGTAATAACTAAAAAATAATTAGTATTACCTTTCGTATTCCTTAGCACATTCTGCCACTAAACCATAAAAGCGATCAAATCCAATGCCTGTTTTTGACGATACTCCACAAGTCCGCAGATTCCTATAAAACTCATCGAGCGTCAGTGACATGGTTCGCGTCAAATTGCTTATATAATTTTGTTCTTTCTCCAGCGCCTCCTGAAAAGCCTCAAAGTCCGTCATCCACTCAACCGCGAAATCGTGATCTTGAACGTCGATCTATAAAAGAAACCAATCATGCAATGCAATTTAAATTTTTTTTTTTAACTTGACTCACCTTATTAAGTGCTACGATAAAAGGTAAACGTGATTTATATAAAATGGAACATGCGTACAGCATGTTGGACATAAATGTTGTTGGGCTGATAGAACGGACAACATCCATCACATAGACCACAACTGTTGGAAAAATAGTTGCTAATGCTTCAGTTATTATGGTACCAGAGGCGGACCAGGTAAACACCTCAATTTGTCCTGGAGTATCCAGTATACACCACTTGTGACCCTGTTGTCCAGCGCGCCTGATTAACTCAACCACCTTCTCAAACTTCGTAGCAAACAAATTCAAAGACGTTACTATTCCACCGTTTGGTCCAAGCTTATACTGTTTCATGACCTCTTTATAATTAACCGTGTCCCTAATGTCAATATTAGCATGGTAAGGAGTTTCCCGACACGCGGGATCGAGGTTTATCACATATGGCTTGAAATGATTAAATGAGAGCTGTGTGAGCTTCTGCACGAATGTTGTCTTTCCAGAGCCAGCCATGCCGAGCACAATCATACAAATCGGTGCTGATACGGGCTCTTGTTCTACGGAAATAGATGATGGAGTTGACCCAGAACTAGTGGACGCCATATTTTCGTTGAAAACCTCTTCTCGTTTTTTTAATAAAACAAACCAATTTCACAAAGACGGCGCAAAATGCCACAACAAAGGTGCCACTGGACTGCAATTTTTGGCTTCTTGCTTTGCCACATGTTGGTTTATAAAAAGTTTTAAACGGAAGTTTACTCAAACCATTCGCAGCGTGTGTGTGTGATAACACCGTCCCTTTTATATTGAAATTGTTAATTATATTTATTAAAGCTGAGATTTTCTAATGATAAGCACAAAATTATCTATTTACAAAATTTACTTAAAATACAATTTTGAAAAATGTGGCAAACTTAAAAATAACCTAAAAAAACAGAGCAAAACATATGTGATAATAGATCAGCTGATTGTCAAATCGGCGAAGAAATTAAAAAGTAATCGAAATTCGTGTTATTTAACAAAATTTTAAAGCAAATAAAAGTTGATATTTGAAAATGTCCGGAAGATTGATCCTACGCCAACTTTTTCGACAGAGCATTATTGCGCACCGCGTACCTCTGCTTAAACGCTACGAAAACGCGTCTACAGCTTCTGGCAAAACAACCTTCAACAAAGACTCTCTGAAACAGCTTGTAAATACCAATAAGGTTGTCATCTTCATGAAAGGTAACCCGGAAGCACCCAAATGCGGCTTCAGCAATGCGGTGGTGCAAGTACTGCGCATGCATGGTGTTCAGTATGATGCTCACGATGTGCTGCAAAGCGAAGAGTTGCGCCAAAGTAAGGCTTAAAATAAATAAAGCATTTCCGGTATTCATATTAATCAAATTTCATTTTCAGGTATAAAAGAATTTTCCGATTGGCCTACTATCCCCCAGGTCTATATTAATGGAGAATTCGTTGGCGGTTGCGATATTTTATTGCAAATGCATCAAAGTGGCGATTTGATAGAAGAGTTGAAGAAAGTTGGAATAGAATCACTTTTACTGACGGAATCAAAAAATCTAGACAAAAATGAAACAAAAGGCAGTAGTACAGAAAATAAGTAAAGAATATAATATTGTAATATATTAGTCATAGGGAAAATTATAGCAATGTTTTGTTAGCCTCAAATATCCAATTCTTAATCCATAACTTGATATTCCTTACCTAAAAAATAAAAAACTAAAGAAATTTATTTATTTTATTATTCAATTTGGTTGTTTTCGGCTCTGCACGTGCTCTGGCTATGATTAAATTCGGCTAAAGCGAGAAGTTCCAATATCTTCACGTATGCCTGAATGGGGTTATGAATCTGCAGTAATCGCATGCAGTGTTGTCGATGTTCACCTAATAACATATTGGCGATAATGATAGCAATGGCGTAAGCAGCACGATGGTGCAACTGCTCTGAAGATGGGCGATTTCTTCTTCCACGAGGTGCCATTTCTACGCAAACAGAAATAAAGCTTAGATTTGTAATACGTACAATTGAAATACGGTGCTAACTCGCACGAAGTTTTGCACCGGAAATTACAAAAGCCGTTATTTTGAGATGGCGACAAAATCCAGGGATGTACATACCTCTAAGAGTTTGTAAAATCATTTAATGACTACTAGTGGATTTTGATTAGAACAAATGCAAGTTCGCCAAAAGGTACTTAATATTAAAAATTTAGTTTAACTTCACTTTATTATAGCTTTTATATCAATACATTGAATGCATTTTAAACATATTCATTTACTTATACTTCGGTTATAGATATTCGTGTATGCATAGAATATATGTGTTTAATAAAATATAATAAATATTTTAGTATTGCTAACAAATGTAGTTGGTTTTTACTTAGAAACACTGTTACAATGTAACGACATTCCGGCGAATACCTTTGATTATTATTTTAGTAGTTGGCTGAAATCGTTGTTTTATATCAGTCACAACCAAAACCATATAAAACACTGCTTTAGGAAACTTATATTTCCAACGCAACTATTAAATGCACAAAAGTTTGCAAATAATATAAAAAAACTATGTATGTATGTACTGAATAAGAATCGTTTTTTGTTAACACAACGGTCATTATTTAAATAAATTTTAGTGAAATTATAATTTACAGTATGTATTAAATTATATTCCTATTCATTTTTTTTCTAAATAAAAACTCAAATATCTCATTTGAAAATTAAAATAGCAAAAGATATTAATAATACTACAACGTTCCCGTATAAGGTGAAGTAAATTTAAAAAAAAATTCTTCAATTATGGAATTTAGCGAATTGTCTCCAACGAGTTTGGAAATTAAAAGCGGTTCAGGTTTGTAATGAACAAAAAAAAAAACCAACTGGCACTTTCGAGTTTCGCTTGTTATTCTAATCCATTTCAGCTGCTTCAGATTCATAGTTATCCCGCTTTTTACGCTATGCGATTGACAACCGTTCCATAAATGAGCCTTCCAACAGGAATTCATTGCTATTCGTAAGAATATCGATCAATTGCTCGGATTCACCGGTATTTATACTGAAAGGGAAAAATGAGGAAATTTCTGGCAGCAACACACTGCTGTTCACTCCATTCAATGTGGCCGGCAGAGAAGTCTTTCGACGCCGTTCCACGCCATCGATCATTTCAATGCTGTTGCGTCTTTTAACAGCGTTATCTACGGGTGGCCGCTTTTCACCAGTGCGTTCGTAGTAAATGTCTGGCAGATCATCAAAGTCCTGAAGTTCTAAGCAACGTTGTAACTTAGCGATGTTGCTTAAAAGGAGACGATGATTTAGATCAATCTGTGGAAATCCACCGTGTTTGATTTCCAGAATAGGCATCCATCGATAGTAACACTGTTCCCATATTGCCAAATCGGCCATGCTGTGTTGTGGCTCCAAGTAACGATCCTTTGGTATAGTGGACGAGGTCACAAACAATTGCGGATTAATTGTGGTAAAACGTTGCTGCTGTCCCTGTCTAATTGATGGTATTTGTGCGAGTCCCGGTAGCATTATAGCACCCGCCGGTATCGCTATCGAACGACGGTTGTGTTGCTCCTGGCGCTGGCGTTGATAGAAAGGGTTTGT